AAGACAAAGGGAAAAGAGGCAGTTGCTATACGATGATATAAAAAGATGGTCATGATGGGTTTGTGTCATGGGCCATAGGGAATACAATGGTGCTACTTGGGCTCGTTCCAACTAAGGGCTCTGTACTCTGACCTCTTCAAGGTTCAAAATTGAGGGGAGATGTGCCAAGAGAGAGAAAATACAGATGTGGTGAGAGAATGTTCAAGAGAAACAACCTAATTCAAACTAAAGACTTGCCAATTCACCCTTCCATCATGCCCACTTTTTTTTTTTTTTTTTTGGCTAGAACACAGCTGTTTCAAGTCCCACTTGAGACGAGATTCATCACCACATATTTGCAATTTTTAAAAAAGGAGGAAGAAGAATGATAAGCAAAAGACAGAAGAAGAGTATATGCCATGTGAAGGAATCATGTGAAAAGTTCAGACAAAAAGTTCTCCATCCCTCATAGACATTTCTTAGATGATGTCTCATTAAAAGAGAAAAATCTTTAAGAGGAGCCACAAAGCTTTAATGATGAGATAAGTAGGCAATGGAGAAATTGAGTCAGCTCGATTCAGAAAAGAAATGGAGGAAAATCAGGAAAGAAAAGCAACAAAACTCAGAATACACATGACTGAGGTCACAGATGTGATAAGTATGTGGTCTGAGCACACAAAACACAATCTAGGGTGAAACAGATCACCAGCCCAGGTTGGGTACATGAGACAAGTGCTCGGGCCTGGTGCACTGGGAAGACCCAGAGGGATCGGGTGGAGAGGAAGGTGGGAGGGGGGACCGGGATGGGGAATACATGTAAATCCATGGCTGATTCATTTCAATGTATGACAAAAACCACTGCAATGATGTAAAGTAATTAGCCCCCAAATAAAAAAAAAAAAATGGAAAAAAAAAAAAAAAGAAAAGAACAAAGACCCAGTTGGCTCTCATGAGCCAGAGGTGCGGGCTCTCACACACCACAGGGTATAGGCAAAACTGATATGGAAAGACTGACAAGAGGACACGGCTGGGCAAAATTATGAACACCTTATGGGCACTCTGCAGAAGCAGCCAATCAGGAGCAAAGGGAGGAATGTCATTGCCCTGGTTCTTTTAATAGCAGTACACACTGCCTAAGAGATGGTGGGAAAATGTATGTGATCCTTCCAGGAAAAGAAACACTACATAACTATATGTTACCTAGCTGAACTAGGCTTCAAGTGCAAGAGGCAAGAAGCTAGGGTTTGAGGCTTTCTGGAAATTACCATGAGATGATGCAATTTACCTACCTAAGAGAATAATCAAAGAACTCAGGAAAGGAGAAGATCAGTTCAGTCATTCAGTTGTGTCCAACTCTTTGTGACCTCATGGACTGCAGCACACCAGCCTTCCCTGTTCATCACCAACTCCCAGAGCTTGCTCAAACTCATGTCAATCGAGTCAGTGATGCCATCCAACCATCTCATCCTCTGTTGTCCCCTTCTCTCCCTGCCTTCAATCTTTCCCAGCATCAAGGTCTTTTCCAATGAATCAGTTGGAGCTTCAGCATCAGTCCTTCCAATGAATATTCAGGACTGATTTCCTGAATTTAGGGAAATTTAGGATTGACTGGTTTGATCTCCTTGCAGTCCAAGGGACTTGCAAGAGTCTTCTTCAACATCAATTCAAAAGCATCAATTCTTCAGCACTCAGCTTTCTTTATGGTCCAACTCTCACATCCATACATGACTACTGGAAAAACCATAGCTTTGACTAGATGGACCTTTGTTGGCAAAGTAATGTCTCTGCTTTTTAATATGCTATCTAGCCTGCTTATAACTTTTCTTCCAAGGAGCAAGCATCTTTTAATTTCATGGCTGCCAGTCACCATCTGCAGTGATTTTGGATCCCCCCCCCCAAATAAAGTCTGTCACTGTTTCCATTGTCTCCCCATCTATTTGCCATGAAGTGATGGGACTGGATGCCATGATCTTAGTTTTTTTAATGTTGAGTTGCAAAATAGAAAAGCTTGTGAGCAACTGCCTATTCTTGTTTATTTGAATTTATTTATTACTCCTTAGGAACAAAAATGCTCATAATAGTCCTCCAGGGAGTACTGATTCAGTCATCTATTCCTTATAAAGTTCCTGGAGACCATGTTTAAAAGCTATTCAGCCCTTATTTAGGAGCTTTTCCAGAAGGGGAAGTGGTGAAGAAAGGCATAAAAAGATATCTCAGGTGGGGAATGAGAAGTGATCATTTCTTTTCTAAATTTCTTGGTCCTAGATGGGAGCTTACTACCTTCCCAGGGTTTCATCAGTCTCTTTCCAGGTTATTGATCTTGGATGGACACTGCCATCAGCTTATGCCTTGATGAGACCTTTTCTCCTAGATCTTCCAAGGAAAATTTGTTCAACCCCTTATTTTGGCCAAAATGAGATTTGAATTTTTCAAAATCAAATATACCTAGAAGTATACACATGCAAGCATGTGCACTCTCACATACACACCAATTAAAACATCCCACAAAAATATAGAAATAACTGTATATGTCAATAGGCTCATTTCAAAATCCAACAATAGCCACTAAATGCTTTGATAATTAAACATAATAAGGACCAACTTCCCCACTTTTGAAAAAATAACAATAGTTTAAAGTTAGGAAGAAATACAGAGGAAAAGCAAAAGGTATTCAAGATTACTGCCCCAATCTGTCTTGGTGTATCTGTAGTTTACCTTTTAGAACCAATGGCAGGAGGGTACCCAGGAGGACACAGGGGCCTTGGGGACACGCCCTATCTGGGCTGTCAGGCACCCAGGTCAAACTGCTCGCTCAACTGAACTTTCAGTGCTCTCTGTAGTCTGGTCTCTGCATGTCTCTCCAATCCTATTTCTAAATTTTCCTCCTTACAATTCTGATTAAATGTATTTCCCCTTGCTTTCATGATTTTGCTCAAGCTGGTCCTTAAAGCAATAATGTTCATCTGGCGGTAACTCTATTTTCACAGGATTAAGTCTGGCTTCTCTCCTGGGTGTGGATTAAAGACTGCTTCCTGGATAAGCCCTGGTATCACTGCCAGTGGAGGTACTGCTGGCTTCTTCCAAACTCTCACAGGACATTATTTTTATTCCTTATAGGGATTGAAGCTTCCTACTCTATATAATGGTTATGTACATGCTGTTTTTAAGTTAAAAAGGAAGACTCTTTTTAGTATCTTATTTTGGTCAAAATAAGAGGCAAAGGAATTATCCGTGTGAAATCCAGGAGAAAAGGTCTCATCAAGGCATGAGCTGGTGGCAAAGAGTCTGACCAAGACAGAGATGACAGAGCACAGAGCCTACAGCTGCTTCAGCTGTCAGGCCCATGTGCAGCGCCTCATCCAGCCTGAGCTGGCCTCAGCTAACATGCAGACAACACGAATGCTGTCTCAATCCATCATTTCTACGGTGGCAAGGACTATATCATAACTGATAATGGGCTGAGTGGGGCTGTAAGAAATTTAGCCTTGTTATGGAAAGTAGGAGAGAAAACGATGTCAAGATAATCCTGAGATTTCTGGTGGTTATGGGGTGAGTGGTGGTGCCACTAAAAATAAAGGGAACAAAGAACTAATTTGAGGTGGGACAGCACAGGCTTCATGTTGGACTGGTTGAGTTTGAAGCAAGTTTCTTTGAAATACACATGTGGAGATGGGAATGAAAAGGAGTTATTATGACAGCAGTCAGGATAGCATTTTAGAAGTCCTGTGTATTAAAGGTGAGTAATTCTCACCATGACATTGTCAGAGACTTTAGAGGAAAATTATCTTGCCCAGAAAATAGAAAGTAAAATTGGCAGACGTACTGTATTGCAGTGAAAGAACCCTGTTATTATTTCCTATTGATTTTTCTGCTTCCTTCTTTTCTTTTCTTTTCATAAAATCAAAATCCCATTCTAGTGAATGTACATTACATAAAGTCCCACACTTAGATAAATAATTGATAGCTTGAACCAGGCACTTGTAGCACTAAAGTCTGGACAATTTTTAAAATTCATCTTTCATTTGTTAATCCTTTGAAATGTGTCTCAAATTTGCCTTATACTGTGGTTTAAAAATCACATATGTTGGGAAAAGTGGGATGATTAGAGCAGTTTGGGATTGACATGTACACATTGCTATATTTAAAATAGATAACAAGGATCTACTGAATAGTGAAGGGAACTCTCCTCAATATTGTGTAATAACCTGAATGAGAAGAGAACTTGAAAAAGAACAGATACATGTATATGTATAACTGAATGACCTTCCTGTATACTTGAAACTAAAACATCATTGTTAATCAACTACACTCCAATATAAAATTTAAAAAATTTTAATTTGTGGTAGAAGGATATTTAAAGATATGAATATAAATATTCTTTCACTAGTCAGTGAAAGAAGGCAAGCTCCAGGACACATATATTTCAATTTTGTTTTTAAATGTATTTCCAATAATAAGATACTAGAAGGTATAGATTTAAATTTTATAATTGATTTTACATTGTATACTTCTATGTATCTTCTAAACTTCCTAAAATAAACATATATACTATCTATAAGCAGTAAAAATAGTTGATATTATGAAAACTGTACATAATAGATCATTAAAAATGATTTTTAAATATAATTCAACCAGGGAAAATAATGCCAAAAATAATAGTGTCAAATATTTCAAGTGCTATGGTCATTTTAAAATCTCAAATCTAAGGTATCTTACTTCACAGAAGAGGAGAAAAATACAAGAAAATACAAGCCAATACTAATCACCTACTGAAGTTTACATTCTTTGTTATGAAGAAGTTGTTTAAGAAATGCTTCCAGTAATGTTACCGATATCAGGATGCAACTCAACTTGAGACATTCACTTCATGCAAATAGCACCTTATCTCCAAACCACAACCAGGGAATCGAAATAATTAAACCAGGGAGTTCTTTCCTCACCTTAACAACCATTGCATTATAAAGCTGTCAGACTCTTTAGATGATCTTTGGACTTTTAGAGTCAAAATATTATTTGATTACCTGGCCTTTTCTGTGCCTCCCGTGCACTGATAAATGCCAATGAATTCTGTGAGTTGTTTTTGTAACACCGCATCTTTGCCTTCAACTTGAGTAATGAATGTATGCTGTAAAAGATCTGACACTGTTGGACGCTTTTCATAATCCTTAGTCAAACACCTGCACTGGCAAAAAGGAACATGCAATTATTAGATAAGTTAGAGTTTTGAATTTATTATTCACAGTCCTAAAAATTACTCTAACACAAAGGAATAATGTTCTTCATTGATGCTCAACCCAATAAACATATCTCAAAAAAATGTTAAAACTGAAATCTGAGGAATTAATGTCTGTGAAAGTGCACACATTTGTGGGCGATTATGCTGTAGTGAAACCAACTTTCAACTAAATTCTACTTTCCTTGCCTCCCAGCAAGCATTACTGCAGAGTGCTAATTGAACTCAGTCTCCACTGCCAAGTCTCTTTTAGCAAAAGATAAACAACAATGAAGTCATTACAGTTTTAATACTTATCTAAAATTACAACAAACTTTTCAGTCTCCCTTCATTAACGCTTTTAAAGGTTTCTCAATTGATTTGTTTCTTTCTACGTGACAAAACTACTAACCCGTGTGCAAGGGCTTATGCACTGAGGATGTTTAAATCCATGTCAGTGGATGGGTTTTGAGGTCCTACAGTACATGTACTAATGTGGTGTACATGTACACCTCTTGATAGGATCAACCAGGAGAGAGCACCTGAAACAGCATCACAGGAGGAACCCTGGAACAAACATCGGATGTTTAATCATCTGTCTTCAGACATTGGAAAGAGTAGTTAAGACTAGTTTTCAGGGCAAGGAAACAAAAAGCCTAGGCTCGATGGGTAGAATTAAAAGAGAGAGATTTCTGGTCCATATAAGGGCGAACTTTTTGACAGAAGATGGAATGGGCAGCATTGAGAAGTAAGATTATTTTTATCAGGGGATTACTGATTGGCTTCTTAGTGCACCATGTTCAAGAAGGATTCATGCTCTGCATACTCTCTCAATCTTGAAATATTTGAGGATGTATGGTTATGAGGAAACTGGTCAGAGTGGGGCTGTCATTTGAGGATAGAAAAAAACAAAAAGAAGCCAAGCCTGACCTGAGCCATGCCACTTCTTATCTGTATTGTTAATCCTTCTGGTATAAGAATTTGGCAATTTATTCTGCTAGAATTAACTAAACAGATACTGGCTTCCAAGATGGTGTGAGTGGTAAAGAACCCACCTGCTAATACAGGAGATGCCTGAGACAAGGATTCGATCCCTAGGTCAGGAAGATCCCCTGGAGGAGGGCATGGCAACCCACTCAGTATTCTTGCCTGGAGAATCGCCATGGACAGAGGAGTCTAGTGGGCTACAGCCCACAGGGTTGCAAACAGTCAGACACTAGCAACTTAGCTTACAAACACAAAGAGATGCTACCCAGGGGTGCTAAAAGATGCTAAAGAATAAGGATGACAATGTCTCAAAATAAGAGGATGTGCTAGTGCTTGCTTCGGCAGCACATATACTAAAATTGGAATGATACAGAGAAGATTAGCATGGCCCCTGCGCAAGGATGACACGCAAATTCGTGAAGGGTTCCATATTTTTTAAGGTGAAAAGACAGCCCACAGATTGGGAGAAAATAATAGCAAATGAAGCAACAGACAAAGGATTAATCTCAAAAATATACAAGCAACTCCTGAAGCTCAATTCCAGAAAAATAAGTGACCCAATCAAAAAATGGGCCAAAGAACTAAACAGACATTTCTCCGAAGAAGACATACAGATGGCTAACAAACACATGAAAAGATGCTCAACATCACTCATTATCAGAGAAATGCAAATCAAAACCACAATGAGGTACCATTACACGCCAGTCAGGATGGCTGCTATCCGAAAGTCTACAAGCAATAAATGCTGGAGAGGGTGTGGAGAAAAGGGAACCCTCTTACACTGTTGGTGGGAATGCAAACTAGTACAGCCACTATGGAAAACAGTGTGGAGATTTCTTAAAAAACTGGAAATAGAACTGCCATATGACCCAGCAATCCCACTTCTGGGCATACACACCGAGGAAATCAGATCTGAAAGAGACACGTGCACCCCAATGTTCATCGCAGCACTGTTTATAATAGCCAGGACATGGAAGTAACCTAGATGCCCATCAGCAGACAAATGGATAAGAAAGCTGTGGTACATGTACACCATGGAATATTACTCAGCCATTAAAAAGAATTCTTTTGAATCAGTTCTAATGAGATGGACGAAACTGGAGCCCATTAAACAGAGTGAAGTAAGCCAGAAAGATAAAGAACATTACAGCATATTAACACATATATATGGAATTTAGAAAGATGGTAATGATAACCCTATATGCAAAACAGAAAAAGAGACACAGATGTACAGAACAGACTTTTGCACTCTGTGGGAGAAGGCGAGGGTGGAATGTTTCGAGAGAACAGCATGTATATTATCTATAGTGAAACAGCTCACCAGCCCAGGTGGGATGCATGGGACAAGTGCTCGGGCCTAGTGCACTAGGAAGACCCAGAGGAATCGGGTGGAGAGGGAGGTGGGGGGGGCATCGGGATGGGGAATACATGTAACTCCATGGCTGATTCATGTCAATGTATGACAAAACCCACTGCAATGTTGTGAAGTAATTAGCCTCCAACTAATAAAAATAAATGGAAAAAAAAAAGAGGATGTGCTATTAGTTTTCATTTACTTTAGCACAATGTGTCAATTTCTGCCACCTGCAACACTTGTATCTATGTACTGAGATTAATCACATTGGAGATTATTTTATTCACGTAAAACCATAAACTGTTGTGTGCAGCCACTGGACTTAGAATGAAAAGTAAGGCATGTTTGGTGCCCTGGAGTTGTTTACTGTCTACTAAGGAAGCAAGATCTCTAAATAGAGAGTGAAATAAAAGAGGAAATGGTATTAGAGGAAGAGGAACCAAGGACAGGAAGAGCTTCCTGGGCAGAGACCTAACTGCCTGAAGGAAACGAGGAAATGCTTCTCAGAGGTGAAATTGTGTGGAATATATCAAAGTCACCAAGCTGCGTTAATGATCCTCATGGAAGGATCTGCCCACATGAGTCATGACTACAAATCGTGCGGAACACTTCAAAGTTACCGATTCTCCTATGAGGTCTATGGAATTCGACTGCAGTTCATTAAATATTATGCAGTGCATAGTACACATGTAGCAATGATTAGTTAAGTGAAAACTAAAAGAAAAAAACATTGCCAGTATTTCTTGTGTTTGCATAACCCTTAAATCAGCCTCTTACCTTTATATAAACAAGCAGATATTCTTGGTATGAAAACCAGCAATTTCAATATGGACAAAGATGATTAGTACCTCTACTCTTTGCCCTTTTTACATTTTCTAAGTGAAGTTTGACACATTCAAGCTTAATGACCCCTTCTCTCCCATTTAAAACCTTCAGTCATCCCTTCCCTTATTTTTTCAAGGTGAAGTCATGAGAAGGACTGTGAAAAAAATTTCATGGACAGATTTAGAAATAGCTGATGCATAGCCTCTACTCAGTTGTCTGGAGGCACTGCATTTATCCTAAATATCTGTCAAATTAAAAGTGAATTTCAAATATCTAAGATTTTATCTGTATGATTATCTGACTTACCAAGTGCAATGAAAACTCCCTGGCTGTGATGAGAATTAGGGACGCAGATAACTGAAGGACTAAATAACTGGGTCATCATAACTAAATATGATGGGTAAGAAGGTGGGAGATGCTAAGGGCAAGACTGCAAAAGGCAGGTGGACAGAAGAACCCATTCACGGGTGATGCAATGTCTGCAGAAGCACAGTCATCGATAAGTGAATGAATGTGACCCTGAGAACATCATCGAAACAATAATAAGTTCACTGAACATTCAGAAGACACCACAAATGCTTGTTTTGATGAAGATCATGGGAACCGCTAGGGCTATTTAATAGATAAAGAGGAGAGTCAGAAGCTTGGAGGAATGGTTATAAAAGGCCCATCTCAAAGTCATAGCAGGATGGAATCTCTTTGACTCCTCTAAAAGACTCTAAGGACTCTCCTGGTGGTCCAATGGTTAAACTTTGTCATCAAATGCAGGGGGTGTGGGTTCAATCCCTGGTCGAGAAGCTAAGATCCCACATGCTTCTTGGCCAAAAAAACAAAAAACAAAAAACACAGAACAGAAGCAATATTATAACAAGTTCAATAAGGACTTTAAAAATGTGTGTCTGCTAAAGCACTTCAGTCAGTGTCTGACTCTGTGCAACCCTATGGACTGTAGCTTGCCAGGCTTCTCTGTCCATGGGAATTCCAGGCAAGAATACTGGAGTGGGTTGCTATACCCTCCTCCAGGGAATCTTCCTGGCTCTGGGATCGTACCTGGGTATCTTAAGTCTCCTGCTTTGGCAGGTGGGTTCTTTACCACCAGTGCCACCTGGAATGGCCCACATCAAAATTTTAAAAAAATAATAATAATAATAAAAAGAAAAGACTCTATGGTTACTCACTTGCTGATGAAGTCATTGAATTCTGCTGACCATATGGCAGGTTGCCTCAGTTTTGGGGGTGGATTCCTAGAAAAATAAGATACAAGGTTTGGTACACACTGGCCAGGCAGGACAAAATTAAGAGGCAGGACTGGACAGACTAATGTATCACTGCATTCAATCCCTGGCAGGTATAATCAGGCATTACCATCATTTTCCAATTCAAAGACAGATCAGTTCAGTTCAGTCACTCAGTCGTGTCCAACTCTTTGGACCCCATGAATCGCAGCACGCCAGATCTCCCTGTCCATTACCAACTCCCAGATAATTAGTTATTAATCATTCTTTATATGGAATGACAAGTTCCTTGCTTCTCCGAAAGCACATAATATACCCATTTTTTTTCCCAGCTGATCTTTCTTTTTTTCTTTGAAAGAACCTTTTTGCTTTGAACTGAGAGCCCTAGAGGAAAACATAAATACTTAGCTGGTTAGAAACAATGACTCCTGGGGAAAAGATTTTTAACTCTGAGTCCTACAGAAATCTCTGAGGGATATTCAGGAGACACAAAGGTGACCGGAAAGGAGGATTATTCAGAATATGCAAGAAACCTTAGCAGAGAGGCCTTTATAGAAGAGAGCCTTTATGACTTGTTCTGGTGTTACTTGGGTAGATGGCCAGAAACAAGATTACCAAAGTAAGGAACTGGAAAATATGATTGGCAATAAAGCTCTGAATGCCACTGCAAGATTCTGTTATTAATTCCTTTCATTTTAAGCTGAACAAATCTTTTCTTTTTTGTGACGTTCATGAACACAAAGGAACATCATCTGAAAATGGGGCTGATCTCTAACTGTAATCAAGCAACACTGATCAACCATGATAACCATGATAGTTGAATCTCCTGAAGTACCGCTTTATGTTAATTCCAGCAGCTCTTTGTTTTCATTAGTGGAATGGAAATACTTTGTCTTCAGCTCTGCGTTACTCCTTAAATAGCTTAAAATGAAATTAATGTACAGTCTGTACAGGCTCATTAAAGAAATGTGCAGCTACTCATCCACTAGATCACACTGAAAGCTCATTTTACAATCCTTAGGACTATTTGAAGATTGCTGATTTGCACATTAAAAGAAGTAATTCTTTTCTCCAACAATTTTGCATGGCTTCTTGTTCTCCTGAAAAACTCTCTTTTAAGAGATTTACTGGTTTGCTTTGAGTACAGCAAGATTTTGATGATTTTAGAACATTCAGAACCAGGTAGCTTTACAGATCCTCTTTTTCCCCTAATTATTTCTTCAGTCTGTAATCTTAGAACTCCATTTTAAAGATATATTGGTGGTACAAGGAATAAGAAACAACTGAGATGATACAGTTTCCAGAGGTACCTTGCTCAGGTACCATATAGATCAACAGTAGCATCCCTCTTTCATGTGGTATCATCATTAAGAGTAATAACCCTAGGCTAACTATGTTCATTTAAACCATAATTTAAATAGCTCAGGAAAAACAGTGCTTCATCTCATATACAGAATGACAGCAGGAATTAGAATATACAGATTCTGTTGGTTTTCCTCAAATTTAATGAAATGTCTTAGACTTGATACAGAGCAGGTTTTCTGCTCTTTTTCTGTAATCTCATTTCCCCACTTACTGTGCGTGCTGTCACTTCAGTCATGTCTGACTCTGTGCGACCCTATGGACCGCAGCCTGCCAGGCTCCTCTGTCTACGGGATTCTCCAGGCGAGAATACTGGAGTGGGTTCCCATGGCCTCCTCCAGAGATCTTCTGACTCAGATATTGAACCTGCATCTCTTACATCTCCTGCATTGGTAGGCAGGTTCTCTACGGCTAGTGCCACCTGGGAAGCCCCACTTATTAATAAGCAATTTATTTTACAAACAGTAAGACGTCAGAGATACATTGAAATTGTTATAGAAAGGATGATATATATTTAAGGTATTATAACTCAGTAAATACAGGCAGGACAGAAAATTACAAGGTAAAGTTAAAAACAAATTTGAATGCTTTACCCTAATTTAATTCCATGCCAAATATTCCAAATAGATCTATTTGGAAATGAATAGGTCATACTGGCATTATTTCTTTCAGACTGGAACCACCCCTGACCAGGGCTTTTACATATGATTCAATGTTCTACAAGCATTAGGATCCCACAATTTATTTGTGTGGGAACAAATTTGAGCATACCTCACCTCTCCATGCCGGACCCATGTTCCCATACGCCTTCTCTGTGTATTTCATTAAAATTAAGATAGCAGGCAAAATCCATAAGAAAGTCTTTAGGATTTCCCTGGTCATATAGTGGATAAGAATCCACCTGCCAATACAAGGGACGTGAGTTTCATCCCTGGTCCAGGGAGGTTCCACATGCTGCAGAGCATCTAATGCATGTGCCGCAACTACTGAGTCCTCGAGCTGCAGCTACGGAAACCCACGTGCCCTAAAGCCCATGTTCCTCAACAAGAGAAGCCACCCCAATGAGAAACCTGAGCACCACAACTAGAGACTAGCCCCTGTTTTCTGCAATTAGAGAAAGTCCATGCACAGCAATGAATGCAACCAAAAAGAAAAAATAAATAATATTTTGAAAAAGTTTTTAAAAGATAATACCAATATAATAAAAATAGGCAGTCTTTTCATGTCAGTATTCTGAAATATCTAGGAACTAACCAAAACATATATAAAACAGTGTTTAATCAGTGATCAACAAGAGGGAAAATCTGACAACACACATGAAAGGGGAGGTGTCTACACAGCAAAGTGCCTCCTTAGCTCCAAAGAGATTATTTTTCTAAGCTTAACATTTTATATTAGCATATTCAAAACACTAACATTTTTTAAATCATTATTATTTTATCAAAAATTCTACTTCTAACTTTCTTAATACTGTCATTTTAGAGCTCTAAACACAGGGAAGTCTTAGCAAGTAATAAAAAATTATTAGATTGATAAGAGTGGAACAGAGCACATTACTGTTACATGGACTGTGGACCAGGAAGCCTCACTGACAAACCTGGGAGTGAATCAAGAGTGACAGGAAGTGTTGTTTTCCAAGCTCAAATCCTTGTTAAAGAAAAAAAAGACACACAATACTAAGAGAAAGCTCTTGTACTTAGACCAGGGAAAATAAAACTATGGTACAAAAAGAGTGTCTTGAAAGAAGCAGGATGATATTCCAGGCCACTCTGCTCCCAACCTGTGGAGATATATCTGGATATTTCCATGAAGAGCTTGACAAAGATTCTGTGGCTGGAGGAAAAGAGAAAACTGGCAGGTACTGGACCCACGTGAGAGCCCTCTGACCTGGGTATTTTGAAGAGTGCTCTCATGGGATGCAGGTCGGCTAATGGAGGGTCTCCATCCCCCAGCTCAATGGCCGTGATCCCCAGGGACCACGTGTCACATCTGGCATCATAAGTTGTATCCAGTTGCTGTTCACATGCAATCACCTAGGAGAAAATGAAAGAAAAAGGAAGTTTGCAACTTCAATAAGCACATAGGAAAATGCTTAGAATGATGTATAAGTGTTCAAATTGATGAGCTTTGAGAACTCCCAGCCAAGGCAGTAACATGGGAAAGTAAAACCTCAAATTATAATTAGTAGTGGTAGTTTTATTCTAAGAATGTAAAATCTTAGCAGAATTGAAAACAATAAGGGAAGAAGTCTATGGGGGAAAAAAAGTATTTTTGAAAATGCAAAACAGAAAGGGGAATGAAAAAGTGTACCTAATGGGAAGGGATGGGATCAAACATACAGCTTAAACTTGTACAATGATAGTCATCTGATAAACATTTGATTAATAAATGGAGTCATTCATCTTGACAAAGATAAAGAACACATCTTTAACAAAAATTGAAGGATACAAAGAAAAATAAGCTTGTGGGAAGCCTAGGTATATGACCTCCAGCTTTTCTGACAACTTGAAGGCAGAAATGAGACAAGTGTGGAGAAATACAAAAAGGCTTATGCCATCAACAAGAGAAAAATAACTGGATAAAAATAAACATAAGATGTTAGCAGTTATCTGGGAGCATACTAGATAGTAAATCTTGTTGTTTAATGGCTCACTTGTGTCTGACTCTTTGCGAACCCATGGACTACAGCACACCAGGGTTCTTATCCTTTACTATCTCCCAGAGTTTGCTCAAACTCATGTCCATTGAGTTGGTGGTGCTGTCTAACCATCTCATCATCTGTCTCTCCCTTCTCCTGCCTTCAATCTCTCCCAGCATCAGGGTCTTTTCCAATGAGGTGGCTCTTCACATCAGGTGGCCAAAGTATTGGAGCTTCAGCTTCAACATCAGTCCTTCCAATGAATATTTAGGGTTGATTTCCTTTAGGATTGACTGGTTTGATCTCCTTACTGTCCAAGGGACTCCGAAGAGTCTTCTCCAGCACCACAGTTCAAAAGCACCGATTCTTTGGCATTCAGCCTTCTTTATGGTCCAGTTCTTACATCCATACATGACTACTGGAAAAACCACAGCATTGACTATACGGACCTTTGTCGGCAAAGTGATGTCTCTGTTAAGCTACAATCAGATTTTTTAAGATTTCACTAATCACAGGATGTCACTGAAGAACAAGAAAGAAATTTCACATGTTGTGAATGCCAACTCACAAGATAAATAAAACATAATCTGGGGATGATGGCAGGTTAGACTTCATATCATTTAACTACAGTAATATGAAATGAGATGCAAAGTGAAAGAAATCTAATCCTGTCTGGAATAGCATTTCACCTTTCTGACTCCACTTAACATCAAATTTAACACATTAAAACATCCCTATGTTGGTACAGTGGGTGAATTTATGTCCCAATCTACCCATGGCATTCTTCGTTTATGCTCACTTCCCTAGACTCATTATAAATACCTTCCCGTTTCACTCTCCAAATTGTCCTGGCTTCTACAATAAGCTACATGGTCACCTATCACAGCCACTGTCTCCCCTTCACCATGAAACACACATACTCTGGGAAGGATGGCTTTACATAATCAACAAATGCTACCTTTGGTCTAGAATTTAACTGAAAAGGATGTCAAATCAAGAATGTCACTTTCTAACTTATAATTGATTTAAACAACCTTGTTTACTTTGTTGTGTTCTAATTCTTAGAAATTAGACATGAATAACCTAGAGCCTGTATTTATCTGATGTCTTCATTAACTAGATAAGTTGATTATTCAAAACACATTCTTCAACAATTCTAGGTAAGTGGAAATTTACTGAAGTATTGCCAATCATTCAAAAGTTGGTAAATGCTTATTACGGAGAAATGACTATAATATGGACAAAATGTTAAACATATATTTACAGGATAATTTGAAAAGACCACAATGAACCTTTCTCTTTTATATATTATTGGTTGGCCGAGCAGGAAAGCACTTTCAAATCATGTTTGTGCTACAGAGGGCTTACTAATAGTAAATAATGAATTATCAGTAAAATGACTGTCTAATAATTGCATAGTAAGGAGTATTAATTTTAATTATTGACTCATTTATTACTCTGATAGTTATATTTTAGATAAAAATATTAACTTTACTCATAGAGTGCTTCTAAGATCTACTAAACAAAATTGTTTTTACTAAATGACAAACAAAATATAATAATGGCTTTGTTACTATAAATTAATATATTAAAAATACAAAATTAGACTATTAATTATTTAATAGAAATCATATAGCTATATTATAGTATTTATTATAGTAATTATTCATATATGTAGATGAGATGTAAAGCTTGGTATTACAGCTAGATGTTATTAACTTCTCATTTTTAACCTTTTCACAAGCTTTTAAAACACTAATAATATATAGGAATTGAAGAAAAAACCCACATTTGAAATTCTTTTATTCAATTTTGTTTTTGCTTATATGACTATACAGTCTACACATATTTTAAAAGTTTCTTAAGATAATTTATCTTTTCTCCATATTTTACATTACACTTAAATTTTAACTTTTTTTGCAAGTAGTAATTGAATTAGTATTAAAATAGGAACAGCACACCAGGACTTAATCCTCCAGCAAATTTAATTCTATGATTTTGCAGTATTAATGTAGTATTTAAATTACTTCCCTTCCTGTCACTCCCTAGAAAGATGTAGGCAAATAGCAGAGTTTTTCCCAAAGATGGCAGAGTTTTCAAACATAAATGTTCTTTACTGATTAACATTAAAGTGACTGTGGAGAAAAGATGAAACTCTAGAAAACTTTTCCTCAACTATTTTAGCAGTTTTTCTACATCTTCCCATAGGTGATGCTCAAAAAAATCTTCCGAGGTGTGATGTGGCTCTAAGCAGAGACACTCAACATAGGACCTACTATAAATACAGGTTAAAAGCCTGCATCTGATTTTAAATAAAGTCAAGGCTGTATATTGTCACCCTGCTTATTTAACTTATATGCAGAGTACATCATGTGAAATGCTGTACTGAATGAAGTACAAGCTGGGATCAGGACTGCGGGGAGAAATACTAATCTCAGATATGCAGATGACATCACCCTTACGGCAGAAAGCGAAGAGGAATTTAAACAGCTTCTTGATGAAAGTGAGAGAGGAGAGTGAAAAAGCTGGCTGAAAACTCAACATTCAAAATATGAAGATCACGGCATATGGTCCCACCACTTCACGGCAAATAGATGGGGAAAGAATGGAAAACAGTAAGAGACTTTACTTTCTTGGGCTCCAAAATCACTGCAGAGGGTGACTACAGCCATGAAATTAAAAGACACTTGCTAGAAAAACAATGACAAACCTAGACAGCGTATTAAAAAGCAGAGATGATTATTTTGCCAACAAAGGTCCGTATACTCAAGGCTATGTTTTTTCCAGTAGTCATGTGTGGATGTGAGAACTGGACAATAAAAAAGGTTAAGCACCAAAGAATTGATGCTTTTGAACTGTGGGGCTAGAGAAGACTCTTGAGAGTCCCGTGGACTGCAAGGAGATCCAACCCATCCATCCTAAAGATCAGTCCTGGGTGATCATTGGTAGGACTGATTTTGAAGCTGAAACTCCAATACTTTGGCCACCTGATGTGAAGAACCACCTCATTGGAAAAGACCCTGATACTGGGAAAGACTGAAGGCAGAAGAAGAGCAGGATGACTGAAGATGAGATGGTTGGATGATATCACTGACTCAGTGGACATGAGTTTAAGCAGACTCCGGGAGATGGTAAAAAGCAGATAAGCCTGGCATGTTGCAGTCCGTGGGGTAGCAAAGAGTCAGACAGGACTGAGCAACTGAACGACAAAAAGGCACTTTTATATTTCTATCCAACTTAAAAACAAACTCTATCATTAACAGAGATATGTGCAACCTAGATGTCCACTGACAGAAGAATGAATAAAGAAGATGAGGTGCATATATACAATGGAATATGCTATGTACTATGTGTTAGGTCACTCAGTCACATCCAACTCTTTGCAACCCCATGGACTGTGGCTGCCAGGAATCTCTGTCCATGGGAATCTCCAGGCAAGAGTACTGGAGTGGGTTGCCATGCCCTCCTCCAGGGGATCTTCTGGACCCAGGAATCGAACACAGGTCTCCTGTGTCTCCTGCATTGTAGGCAGATTCTTTACCACGGAGATACTGGAGAAGCCCATGCAATGGAATATTATCCATTAAAAGGAACAAAGTTGGGTCATCTGTAGAGATGTGATAGACCTAGGGTCTGTCACACACAGTGAAGTAAGTCAGAAAGATATTAATGCATATATGTGGAAGATAGAAAAGTGGTAGATACACCTATTTTCAGGGCAGGAATAGAGATGCAGACTTAAGAGAAGGGACATGTGGACACAGCAGGGGAAATGTAAGGTGGGATGAATTGGGAGCTTGGGATTGACATGTACACTACTATGTACAAAATAAAATAACTAAGGAGAACCTATCATATAGTACAGGGAGCTCAGCTGGGCCCTCTGTGATGACCTAGAGGGTTGGGATGGGGAAGCGGGGGTTGGACGGAGGCTCAAGACGGACGTGTGTGTATGTGTATACACACAGCTAATTCACTGCGTTGTACAGCAGGAGCGAGGCATTATAATGCAATTATACTCCAATAAAAAGTCTATTTTATGAAACGTAAGGTTATGAGTACAGTTCACCCCTGAGCAACACATGGGTAAAGGGTTCCAATCTCCTGACAGTTGAAAATCCACGTACTGCTATCTCTGCCTCAAAAACAGAGAAACTGATATATGACTCACCCAAGGGCAGGAAGCTGAAACAGCTTGGCTAGAACCAGGACTCAAACCCTGGTTCTTTTGAATCCACACACTGTGAGCTCTGATTAAATACAAACTTTTCCCCACACTTAGTTAATTTAAAGATCTGTAAAATGAGATTGGGGATTAGTAGATACAAACTATGTATAAAAGAAATAAACCACAAGATTCTACTGTATGCTGCTGCTGCTAAGTCGCTTCAGTCGTGTCCGACTCTGTGCGACCCCAGAGACGGCAGCCCACCAGGCTCCCCCGTCCCTGGGATTCTCCAGGCAAGAACACTGGAGTGGGTTGCCATTTCCTTCTCCAATACATAAAAGTGAAAAGTGAAAGTGAAGTCGCTCAGTCGTGCCCGACTCTTAGCGACCCCATGGACTGCAGCCCACCAGGCCCTTCCGTCCATGGGATTTATCAGGCAAGAGTACTGGAGTGGGTTGCCATTGCCTCTCCAACTGTACAGCATGGGGAATTATACTCAATACCTTGTAATAACCTATAATGAAAAAGAATATGAGAAAGAACATATATGTGTATAACTGAATCACTTTGCTATTACAGCAGAAACACAACATTGTATATCACCTATACTTCAATAAAAAAAGAAAAACTGTAAAATGAAATTACAGGTACTATATTTATTGACAAAAATTTGCAGGTAAGTGGACCTGCAATTCAAACCTGCGCTATTCCACTGTAGTTTCTCTCTACCTCATCTGACTTATTCATTCAGTCTTTCATGTATTCATATATTGGCTCACAGCCCATTTATCATCTCCCATGTCACTCCTCACACACGCAAATATCTCACATAAAGACAACACAACTGACATTTTCTTCTAGTAGATTCTAACACACACATGGAGCTACAGCGTGCATGAAAACGAAACTCAGAAAGGATCAAACACGCCATGTGTCTCCCTCAAAAAAAACTCTATCCGACCTCAGGAGCCATCCAAAACGGCGTTCCTACAGATGTGTTCCGACGGTGCCAGGTGCTGGTGAGCTGAGCAGACACGCCTGGAAGGAAGAGACAAGACTTATTTTCTTGCATTCACTACTCAGGTTAAGATTTCAACTGCAATAAATCTGCTTACAAACAAATTTGATTCTCTTATAGCTGCCACTGGACTTGAACTTCACCTTAAGGCATCCAAACTCAGGATGTCTGCATAGCCAAGACATACAATGGTCCTCCTACTTTCTATTTCTCGTATCCAAACCTATTCAAGCTTAAAGCCCCATGTCAAGCTTAAACTCCCCCATGCTGACTTCATCTGCTCCAGGTTATACTAATCTCTACAGCCTTGACTTTCTAGATTTTAAACTATTTGTCTGTATTGCATATTTCTGCACATGGTTGTAATCTGAATGGTAGGCTCCCTTTGCTCCTTCCTCTCACTACTAATGGAGAAAGAAATGGAAACCCACTCCAGTATTCTTGCCTGGAGAATCCCAGGGACAGAGGAGACTGGTGGGCTGCCGTCTACAGGGTCGCACAGAGTCAGACACGACTGAAGCGACTTAGCAGCAGCAGCAGCCCAGTACTAAATTCTAATGAACTGGATTGTTTCATATGGTGGCATACACATAGCAGGTGACTTGTGAATGCAAACAAAATTATTTTCCACCTATCATCTTGGGACAAATCACACCTGATTGGAAGTTTCAAATAAATTATTGGGGTTGGCCAAAAAGTTCACTCAGGTTTTTCTGTAAGCTGTTATGAGAAAACCTGAATGAATTTTTGGCCAGTCCATCACATCTATTAATATTTAAACCAACAGCATCAATAGGATCAGTTATTTTCCTTTAGAGAGACTATACACAGAAAGATTACAATGAGGAGGTTAAATGAAACATTTCAATCTTGTCATCCCATTAATTCTACCTGGTTAGATACAATCATAACTGGCTCTTAAGAAAATCCAGAGTATAGTCTCCCTCCTCCCAGCACATACTTGTGTTCCTCTGGCTGCACAATGCTTCTTCCTGTGACCTTACTCTGGACTTGATGTTGTTCAGTCACTCAGTCATGTCCGACACTTTGCGACCCCAAGGACTGCAGCACGCCGGGCTTCCCTGTCCTTCACTATTTCCTGGAGTTTGCTGAAACTCATGTCCACTGAGTCTTGATGCCATCCAACCATCTCATTCTGTCGCTCTCTTCTCCTTCTGTTAGTCCCAAATTGTGAACTTTAACTCCCTGACATCCTTGCTTTGAAAAGTACCTCCTGGGTCTCACATTTGTTTTAGGCTCTGGCTGTTTACCTTATAAGCCAGGTAGAACAAAGACACTAATTGAGGTTTAAAACTGGATATATCTGATATCTCCAAGATCAAGTATCAAATTTAAAGGTCATGAAAATTCAAAGGTCATAGTCAGTCCAAAAAGCATTTCACCGGTGGAAATATACTTGAGCTAAGGGCTAAGCAGTACGTTTTGGTTCTACATTAATTCTGTCCCTCAACGACTTCCTCCATGGATGTAGTAAGTGGGATCTTGTCCTAAATGGGATATGTATCTAAGCCTTCAAATTTTGCCTTTAAAAATTTTATTACTTGACAGAAAAAATATCCTCATGAAATTGTTTCTGAAATTCAGAGAAGATGAAGTAATCTGAGATTGAAGGTTCTCTTGAATATTTCTAACAGATGATCTGAAGAAAGGGAATAAGCACTTAACACACGTTTCTCCAAAATGCACATCTCTCCCCAAGTATTTTAGCTTCCAGAAAAATTGAATGTTAATCTAAACATTTCATCTTGTCTTTTCCTATGAATTAAATGCAGAAATAACTAAGCTTGACTTTTATGACAGTATCCAAGCACAGTAACTTATTTCTATAAGGAGGAAGAGTAAATGGATTTTCAAGAAATTTAATTTAACATTGATTATAAATCTATTAAAATTTATTCTAACAGTTTCTAATGATTTATGAAAAATTAAAAATTCTATTTTTCCCTAGTAAACATTTCTGTTTCAACTTTATAAAGATTCTGCAAGAATTCAAATGTCATTTAAGCAAAATATAAAAGGGGTAGAAAATAAACATGATTCAGTAAAATATCTAAAGTTCTGCTTCTGGCAAGAAAGTGACAGACTAATTATTTGATAGTTATTTCTTCTTTCTGGAGATAAAGAAAAGATGATGTCACTAGAATTGGCATTTTTCAGCAAGCAGTCATACCCTGGTGTTTAAATTTATAGATATGGATGACAGGAAAGGGCCGTCCCTCCACATTCCACAGGAAATATATGGAGAAGAATGCTGAGAAGTTCATTAGGATGTATTATGGGACCTAAGACAGACCATTCAGACTTCCTCCTGGAAACGTGAATCTTGAGTGGAGACAGTCAAGCAGCGGGGTGACTAGAGGAAGTCACCCGAAGTTGGAGCTCTAAGGATCAGCCCAAGTGATGCTGCTCCAGGCGATGCTGCTCTGGAGGTCCAGGGATACCACAGCCCTTTCCTAGGAGGCCAGATCACCCAGTCTCTCCCTTGACTTTGCATGTCACTCAGTACTATTTCCAGTATCATTGCCTAAGTGGGTCAGAGTTAATCTTCTGCTGCCTACAATCACAGAACTCTAGTACAAGAACAAGAATGATTTTACACATAAAGGAGCAGATTAACAAGGGTAATGGTCAATAATAATGAGTTTACAAAGCTTAAGATCATTAGGTTTTATATTAATATGAGTATATTACTTTTATCTATATTAATATAAATTTAGAATTTTTTAAAGCAAACATCTGGCCTCCAAACTCCTTTCTTGATCACACTATTCCAAACAACAAGGAACTTCTGAGCAAGCATACCTAATACAGACATAGACTACTTTCCATATGTTTCCAGATATATTGATATATACATGATGAAACATACAAAGATAATTTTAAAGGATGGTATTAAAATATTATTATGAATATTTCATAATTAAGTTGGCTATTTCTTCACTCCAATGGTATATCTGGGATAATGAGTTACGATGCTAGCGATGCAAGTGAAAGTGAAAATTACTCAGTAGTGTCTGACTCTTTGTGACCCCATGGACTGTCTTCAGGCCAGAATACTGCAGTGGGCAGCCTCTGCCTCTCCAGGAGATCTTCCCAACCCAGGGATCGAACCCAGGTCCCCCACATTGCAGGCGGATTCTTTACCAGCTGAGCTACAAGGGAAGCCCAAGAATACTGGTGTGGGTAGCCTATTCCTTCTCTAGCAGATCTTCTCACCTCAAGAATCAAACCAGGGTCTCCTGCATTGCAGGCAGATTCTTTACCAACTGAGCTATGAGGGAAGCCCACAATGCTAGTGGAGTCTCATATATTAAGAGTCTTTTGGGATCCTGCAGAAAGGATGTTTTACACCTGGTCCCTGTAAACTGTATGGAAACAAGAAAAATTTAGCCTGGAATGTGAAGCAGGAAAAACAAAAAAGTCTCAAAATAAGTGAAAAAGGAAAAATGCAAGTAGGTAGAATAAGAAACCCCTGAGTCTGAAACTATTAGATGAATCTCAGGTTAAACACAATACACATACCTATGAAAGAGTGACAGAGGAAGCATGTTTGTTGAGTGTTTCTGCAATAACTGTTAACCCTAAGATCATCTTTCCAACAGAACCAACTTCAGAAATAGGAGGCGGCTTAATGGTTAAAACATCTAACATGATCATTTTCAGGTTAGTAAACTTCAGCTGGACAGAAAAGTAACTTTCCTGAGGACAAACAGCATTTTTACTTACCATAAATTCCCACAAGAAAATTAGCTAGTAAGATAGAAAAATGCAAAATTCAGTTTAAAATGATTGACATAATTACTTTAAAAGGCAACAAGAAACCAAATTATGAGTTCAGGAGCTGCTGGAAGTAAAGAAGTTTAGGAAAATCATCTCATCCAGAGAGGTGCTAAGGGAGTAAGTCACCAAAGTAAACAGTTATATAAGCATGTCAGAGGAGAAGAGGCTGAAGATGGAAAATTCCAGGCAGAAAGTTGGGATACAGAGAAGATATTAAAAGGAACAGAAGCCAACAAGAGATCAGGCTGAATGGAAAACAGATTAGAAGAGAGGGCAATAAGCCATTAAAAGTCAAAGCCACAGGAACATTAAGGAGGTTTGTGTCAATGATTCTTCAGCATTTTGCTTTGATTACATTGCTGGGGAATTATTAAGTCCTTCGAATAAGGCTTCCTGAGCTGTTTGATGTCCCTATGTCCCCTATGGCTTATGTCCCCTATGGCTTATGTCCTGTCCCCTATGGCTTATGTCCTGTTTCCAGGGGTGGGGAGGGTAATGTGCAGGATTTATATTTGTCGTTAGGACTTAGGTCTGAGAGAGTGAGAAGAAACATCAGATATGTGGTTTCCAAGGTGGTTCACAAAGACCAGATGACTTCAGGGAACTTGATTTGCTATAACCATAGGACAAGACCCTTGCCATCTCAAGGGAGCAAAGGGAAGAGCTTGGGGTTTTGTTGTTAAAAGCAAAACACTGCAGGGATGAGAATTGGGGCCATAAAATTTACTTTACCACCTAATACCCTCATTTTGTTGGTGAGGTTAGGACGGTGTGATGATTAATTTTGTGCGTCAATTTGGCAGGCCATGGTGCCCAGATGTTTAGTCAGATGTCCTTATGGATACTTCTGGGAAGGTAGTTTTCAGATAAGAATTAGCATTTAAATAAGCGGACTTTGGGTAAGACTGATTATTGTCCTTAATGTGGATGAGCCTCATCCAGTGAGAGACCGTGACAGTGATCTCCACCAGATGAGGACTTCTGCCAGCTGACAGCCTTTGGACTGCATTTTTTCCTGGGGTCTTCAGCCCACCAGCCCCCCATCAGGTTTTGAAGTCATCAGGCCTCCACAGTCACAGGAGCCATTTTCTTAAAATAAGTTTCTCTATATACACACAGCACACATCCTGTCTGAACTGTGTCTCTAGGGAACTCTGGCAGATGCAGATATCAGTGCTAAGAGTGGTACCAGAGACAAAGAATCTTAAAGATGAGTTTT